GAAAAAGTCGAGATGGCAAACATGGCTAGAAATATCAAGGAAGAAAGGCACAAGACTGAGAAAGATGCACAAGAAATACAGTTGTTCAAAGTGCAAGCAACATGGTCATACTCGCCCCAATTGTGTAAGTTACTGTCAAAATTGGACTGTCTTGTATGTAGTGTCTATCTCTTAGTGTTCTCTGGTTTTCTTATACAGGGGGATAAGGATGTTGATGAGTAGACTTACGGCTGTCAAGGAAGAAGCCATGTCAAGCAGGACGTCAGTGAAGTCTGCGTAAGAAGTCTACCTAAGAAGTCTGCATAGCTTTCAAATAATGTAAAATCTATCTACTTAAGAAGTCTGCGTAAGAAGTCTACCTAAGAAGTCTGCATAGCCTTCAAATAATGTAAAATATATCTATTTAAGAAGTCTGCATAAGAAGTCTGCGTTAGAAGTCTACCTAAGAAGTCTGTGTAGTAAACAATAGCCTTCGGATAATGTAAAATATGTCTACTTATGCTAAATACTTGTTATATTACCGAATCTGCCAATGTTATCTGGCTTAAACAAAAAACTTCCTACCACAGGTACAACTGAGTTACATTAGTTGGTGGGGTACAAAAAATTTATGCACCATTAGTTCTAATTATGAGATACACATGGAAGATGTCATACTCCTTCATAGACGTCCAAATACGCCCAGTCTTGTTTATCAGGCACGCGGAAGTCGATCTCGTTAAATAACCCACTTGCAAAGCTCAGTCTGCTCCTCTTCATGTTGTCAGCAGTAAATGTCGACGGAAATGGCAGCCCAAGTGCATGATACTCAATGAACTTTAGGCAATAAACTCCACAATCACCACCACCATCTTGTTGTGACACTACATCAGCTTCCATCCTTGTGTGCGTGAAACACTCATATGTTAACTTCTCTTTATCTTCGGGGGAAGCCACTTCTCGAAGAAGATATGGCAGCATGACTGCAATAGGCTCCACTGCTGAAGCTATCTCTTCAGAACTAGCATGAATGTGGAGGCTGTCCCAAATGATAATGTGCCTAGAAGGTATCGATATACACAGAGCAATCCAATGATCCCCTTTAACATTCAATGGCATGTATATGTCATCAATCTGGAGCCCCCATGTCTTGTCCATTTTGTAGAATTGTGGTGCCTCGCCATTGTAATAATCAAACGCACCAGCTGGCAGCATTCTACCTGAGCCATCTGGATTCGGTGTACTATCGACGAACTCTTTGTATTTGTTACTCCACATCAAGCCCATTAATGCATCAAGCAGGCAAATACGGTCACTCCTAAACCATTCCGGATGTTTTGACATCCGGTGCCTCAGCAAGTTCATGATGGCGTCCATATGCTGCAGCCACAAATAAATAGAGAATAAGTCTACACGAGAAGTCTATGTAAGAAGTCTACGTTAGAAGTCTATGTAAGAAGTCTACGTTAGAAGTCTACACAAAAGTCTTACCGTGTCTTGCAGCCACTGCAATGTAGTTCTCAGAAGCCACCACCAGTGGTTCAACGGTTGCTTCGTAGGGTCCCTTTTTGGCCAATTTCTGCATAGACATGAGTAGAAAATACTCATATTATCTTGACAAAATTACTGAATATGTAAGCTTCATAGAACTTGTTTCGATAGTGGGGACTTACGGAAGATGTTTCAGCCAATCTTGTAAAGCCTTACTCTTCTCCGTGTCGACGGGAGCAAGAGGATCATATCCACCGACTGGTTTTCCCTCAACGGGAGCAACATGTTTATAGCAAGCAGATAGCCTCCTTATTCTATCGCCCTTAGCTCTTGCCACAATTTCTGCTGCCCTCTTCTGCGTCTCTTGTTTATTTAACTGATTATCCACATCTTTTTTGGTTCGTGGGAAGTTTCCTAGATATACGAGACTTGGTTCTTTCTCTTGGTTCACACTTTCACATGGATCTGGTTGTTTTTTCTGCAAGTAAGCATTATTAAGATGTCAATTCAAAGAAGGGAAAAAACATAAGAGGCTTTAATAATTTTAAAAAAGTACAAACATCACAAAATACAAGTACAATTACTAAAATTAAAAGGTTCTGCGGGTACAAAAAAATAAATTTGTTTGATTAAAGTCTACTTCTTAGGCTCAGTTCTTGTCCTAGTAGAGGGAGGCCTTTTAGAAGGTATTGTAGGGGGATCGGAACTAACCCGACCAGCAGGTGGATCTTCTTTACGGGTGTCGTCGTTAGACTTCACCTGCTCCGCATTCTTCGGGTCCTTCATCTTCGCAATGGTTTCCTCCACAGCCACGACCTTGCCAGTAAGGGCCTTCAACTGCAAATTGCACGCCTCAAACCCAAGCTGCATTTCCACAGACAATGCTGAGCAGGAGGCTTGGATTTGTTTTTTTTATCGTCTCCACCAGAGTCTTCAAACTATCCTCATCAATTGAAGGAGTATCAACTGCACACGACCTCTTCCGGCTTTCATCATCAGATTCGACGCTTCTTTTCTTGCCCGTTGTGGCCTCCGCCTTGACATTGCTCGACTTTAAAACACCATGGACCCGCCAATCACTTGACTTCCATTTCCAACCATCAACACTAAACTCCCCAGACATTGCTTTCAAAATATTTCAGATCGGGACATCATCTACCTCATCATCCCAAGTTGGGAACATATCCTCCATCGCCTTCACAGTAAAGTTGTTGAAACTAACCTGCCATAATTTAGGTGATATTAGTAAGACAAAAGAAGCTTACACAAGATGACTACACACGAAGTCTACATAATAAGTCTACAGAATGAAGTCTACAGAAGAAGTCTAAACAAGAAGTCTACATAAGAAGTCTAAACAAGAAGTCTACATAAGAAGGCTACACCAGAAGTCTACACGAAAAGTCTACACGAGAAGTCTATGCAAGAAGTCTTCAGAATAATGTGAATTGAATGCAGTTTTACCTGTTTAAGCAGAGCCTCTTTGATGTACTTTCGTCCTCGGCAACCGCCGTAAGCCAGAACCGGTGGAGTGGGGTTGTAGGGAAAGGGATTGCCGTACTCAGCTCCGAATTCTGGCATAGCATAATACGCCCAGACTTGTAGCACTTCAGCAAACCCCGGAAGCGTATATGCTTTGGTCAAATTTGCTTTTTTCACTGAATCGATGACAGTCTTGAAAGCCACTCTTCCCTACGGGTAATTTTCAAAAGCCTCTAAATCCATGACTAGCCTTGCCAATTTAGCCCGTGTGGGTGAGTCCCTTCTGCGTCCCTCAATGAATCCAGCGTATATGTATAAATATCCTAACCAAAGCCTATCCTCCCTTGTCCATGCTCCAGCATACTTACATGCTTCTGTAAGATCTTCAATACTGGGACCAACCTCTACATTAACGCCAACCTTCTCCCAAAATTCTCTCGTATCAGGAGTGACATCAGCTTGTGGATCCTCCAGATCTGCTATGTACTCACAATTGAGACCAGTCAGGGCTTCAAACTCATTTAGTGAGAACCTCAATGGGTTTACACCGATCAAAGTCCATATCTCGTACTTCTTCTTGCATTGAAGCTGAAAACCAAGTAGGAAGTGAACCACCCTCGATGCCCACCCAAAGTTCAGTTTGTAGAATTTTAGAAATACGCCCAGCTTTGATTCCAGCAGCTCTTCCCATTCATCGGTTCTCAATACTGCTTCCAAGGCAGGAAACAGCTTCGAGTCATTGCTGTAGTAGCCTATGCTTTTAGCCAGCAGAGGCTCATCTCCCTTTGTGTATAATCGTTTTGGGAATTGGGGCTTCTCCATCCTGCTAAACAAATGGGCGAGTCCGAGCAAACATGTAATAATTAATGTACATGTGACTGAAATCCGAATGGGAAGTGTACGAATGAAGTCTGCTTAGGAAGTCTACGAATGAAATCTGCTTAGAAAGTCTACATAAAAATTTAGGTCCAACATAAGCTTATCTTTTTTCAAATCCTGAAATAACTGAAACCACAACAAAGCTAACGGAGACAACCAAGGGAAGATCTGTAAAACCAAAAAAAAATCTCAAATTTTGAAGACGAAATTAAAATATATGACATACAGAATGGGGGATGAAGAAATATTACCAGCGATGATCGTGACGAGTGGATATGTAAGATTGCAAAAGCGGCAGCAACAACATAAAAGCAACGACGAGAAGATAAGAGATAAATGAAAATCGATTAAAATAAAGGAACAGATAATAGGTAAGAGATCTGGTGAGTGGGAGAGAGAACAAAGGGTACCAGTGGCGACGATGTGAAGAGGTGGCGGCGACAACGATGGAGATCGTGTATATGCGATAAAAATGACGACTATGAGAGAGGCTTCGAAGATCTATAGCAAATTAGGGTTTGTTAGAGAGTAAATTCTCTATACGGTAAACCATATATATATGTCGGTTAGATTGTTCAATTTACCAATAAACTGGTCCGGTAAATTTCGGTTCCGGGCAAATTTGTTATTTTCGGCTTGGTTTAATTTGAATAACAGACTTCTGTAGACGTCTGCAAGACAAGTCTTCAAGAGAAGTCTACAATAAGTTGAATAATTTTGGTATTCCCGCTTGGTTTTATTCGAATTGCAGACTTCTTTAGACGTCTACAATAGAAGTCTACAAGCGAAGTCTACTTACTTGGTTCGATTGTGATTCGCGCCGGTTTATCACGGATTTATCTGGTTCCCGCCCAATAAGTTGAATAATTTTGGTATTCCCGCTTGGTTTTATTCGAATTGCAGACTTCTTTAGACATCTACAATAGAAGTCTACAAGCGAAGTCCACTTACTTGGTTCGACTGTGATTTGCGCCGGTTTATTATGGATTTATCTGGTTCCCACCTAATAAGTTGAATAATTTTGGTATTCCCGCTTGGTTTTATTCGAATTGTAGACTTCTTTAGACGTCTATAATAGAAGTCTACAATAGAAGTCTAAATAGGGAACATTCGTGTAGATGAATTTCAAAAGATACGATGATATACTAAGATCTACTCAAGCTAGCACAAAGGCAGATGATCAAAACTACAAAGAGTAGAGAAAGAACAATCACATTCCTCAGCTCGAGGCATCTCAAACGCTTCTTGTCTACAATTAGCTCTTTTAGTTGAGCTAGCTCTGCCTCAATCCGATTATGTGCTTCCTGTCCATCACCATTTTGGAGGACACGAATACTGTCTCCTTGGTTGTCCAGGGCACATCGTAGCTCTTGAAATTCCTCCATCACGGCCTCATCCCACCACTTGACTAGATGAGGGGGACCAAACTATCCAAGAACAACATAATACGTACATTTTTTTCGTATGAAAACAATTTTGTTACAAAACATAAACATTAAAACAGTCTGTTTACCTTATAATCCTTGCATCCAAAGAACATCCTACCAGGATATTCGTCTGCACTGTCCATTGGTCTCATCATGGTAAGGAAACTGCAGTAGCATCTGTTAGGAATTCCAGAACTCATAGATCGACGCAAAGGAGTAGAGCTCACTTCTGGTTCTCCGTTACTCCACAACCTTCTAGAACTACTTGAAGGTTGACTGTAGCTGTATCGCCCCATTCCTATGTTCGAATATGGACACAGATCTGCAATAAAGTCAAAGGGAAATGTTGAAACTCAGATTATAAACCCGATATGAAGACCAGATGAAGATCCAGTGACAGAAAAATGTGAACACAGCAAAATAATAAATTAGACGAACGGCTTACTAATAGCACAAAAGGAAAGGGAGAGGAGGTTGATGGCGAGAGAGAGAGATGAGGGAGATTAGATTGACGGCGAGAGAGGAAAAAGATGAGGTTCACGGCGAGAGAGAAGGGAGAGGAGAGGGAGGCGCCGTTTTAGAGAGAGAGATATATTTTATTTTTAACAAAATTAGGTTAAACTCTGCTTATATATAAATGTAAAGTCTCCGGTTCAGTTTAAAAAATTTCGGTTATGACCTAATTAAAAAGAATGGTTGCTTTATTTTGAATAGCAGACTTCTTTTAACGTCTACCAATGAATTCTGCTAATGAAGTCTACATTCAACCAGAAACCCTAAATCATATATTTCACTTTTGTTACCATAACCCTAAACATTAATTTTCTTAGCATTTCACATTTTAAATGTAAAATAACAATGATATGGACCCTAAATCAATTAACCAAATCATAAACTCTGATTCATATACAATTTGGGTTTACCCTAACAATACCCTAAACTTTACACCTACCCTAACCCTTTTGAACTTCAAACCCTAACCCTTTTGAACTTCAAACCCTAACCCTTTTCAACCTTATACTTATGAAACTTATAAATTGGTTTATTTTTATGAAATTTTATTTAATATAGATGCCAATTGTCTATGTTTTCGTTATGATTATAATATTTGTATCATAATATTTTTCATAATTTTAGTAAAACAAATTAAGATAATTATGTAGTAGACTTCTAAGGGGTTGTATGTTTTCTAGTTAATTTTTCTTCTGCATTTAAATTGATTCATTTGTATGAAATTTTGTATTCTATACATGTCAAATATATATGTCTTACTTATGTTTATCATTTTTTATAAATTTATTTATTCTATATTTTCTAATCAATTTTTAAAAAACTAATTATATAGTAGACTTCTTTTGAAGTCTACTTATGTAGACTTCATTAATAGTCTACAAAAATAGACTTCTTTAGAAGTCTACGATTGTAGACTTCTTATGTAGACTTCACGAAGGATAAAATCGTAACTGTGACAGATGTTTTTTGTTTAGTCACAAAGGACTGAGCTGTAATTTCACTACCCCTTTGGGTTAGTTTTTCCAAACATTCAATAAGGGGTCTACATATTGAGAAAAAAATCAAATTTTAGGTTATAAAGAGGAATTCCCCCATTATATATTCTTACATTTGATTTCTTTTTCCTTGGCATTTTGGTTTATACTCTTTTTGTTGCATTTTCCAGTTTTACATTGATGTATGATTATTTATTGTTCTGTTTATAGGTCATCAATAGAGATCCTCAAAACTAAATCAAAGTGTCAATTCTTTATTATCTTTTTTTACATTTAAGTTCGCTTTCTGTTTTTTTCTCATACTTCAAAAAATATTCAAATTTCTACTAAAATATTTTGTAATTAACTATTCACTCTTGCTGTGTTGTGTGGTTTTATATTAACAGGTGATCTTTGAGACTTAAGAGTTGCTTTAATGTGATTCCATTGGGGTCTCCAAGATTGGACAGACGCATACAAGCTAAACTCACCAAATCAAAGGAGGACAACAACAACAATACAGATGTGAGCCATTTGGATGTGATTGCAATATGCATGTGATGAAAGCGGCAAAAAGAAAAATAAATTTCAGGAAAGAAGAAGAAGAATCACACCATTGTATTCTCTAGGAAAAAGAAGAGAGAGAACAAGAAATAAGAAACAAGTCTTGTGAACTTTGAATAGTGTAATCTAATATATAGGTTGTTCTGTTTTTAACGCTTTGTTTTGGATCGGTTCACACGGTTTGTTTATGTTTTGTTTGTTTGTGTTATACGATCTTTTTATTAAATTTTGTTGCTGTCGTCGTATATTTGTTTCGTACTTTTCCTTTGTTTCGTATCTCTTTAATTTGTTCTCCTTGGTTTATGGTTAATTATCTACTTTGGAAATTGTGTTCTCTCATATAATTTATGGTTCATTTACCTATAAACATAGTTTCTTTTTTTTTGAATCATAAGAAGTAAATTTAGATTGATTCGTTGGTGTAAATCTACTTGATTAGGATTTTAGCTATCGGTAATATGTATCTTGCAAATGTACTAAAGATCATTGTTATATCAATAGGCTTCACCAACATTGCCCTCTTTGTCTAAGAGACTTTCACTTCTTCCGTTGGTTTTATTCCTAGATGACAACGTTGATGCACACCATTTTTAACAAGCACTTCTCAACATCGGAACTCTAGGAGACTTTCCCTTGCTTTAGAATATATAATCATGTAGTGTTCTTTTCTATGATTATGAAAATTCGTTAACTACTTCGTTGGGGACGACCATGGTAGGGAGTTGAGGAAGAACCATAAAAGAGTTTTTTGAGGAAGTGAAAGAGGGGTTAAATGTGAGCTTCAAGGAAGAGCTCTTAGAAAAGTCCATCGGGAATTAGGATCACTGATGTGTTTCCCAACCCCTAAATATTTTTCAGAGGATTGTATCAATGAGATCATACGCCTCAAGTGAGGTTGAGTTGCAATGCACCAGACTTTCTGATTGAGTTTATGAATAGAGATACAAAAAGTCTTGGTCTTTTTGTAGAAAGATTGATTATGTTTTAGAAACTTATTGGACCTTCAGATTAATTTTTTTTTTATCACATGTAGTAGCGGTAGCCATTGGTGACCTACTCTATCAGATGTAGATAACTTGCAAAAAAAGGTTATGAAGATAAGGAAGAAGATTCGAGAATAAACAGAGTTGTTACTAAGAAAGATTTTTGATGACCTAGAAATCTCAAAAGATCATTATCGGCTCCTATCTCATAGAGACCATTTGGCAAGTTTTGTTGGAGGATCGACATGTTTATATAGGCACACATATCATGAGAAAGCACAAGGCTGTAATAACGGATAGACATATATTTGAGCATTGATAACTTACACTTAATCTTAGGAGCAGCCATAAATATTTGAATTTTTTGTTCTTCTTTCTTATAGGTGGAGAGTGTTAGAGGGAAAATGAGCACATTTCCTAAAAGGCCTTCCCCGCAATAACCTAAGTCCATCACGACTAGGAAGACCGTGCCGACCTAGTTCGGGTTAAAGAAAAACTCTTTAAAGATAATTATGGAAAACCGAAAACATCGGATTAGCCCAAAGGATAACGGAGAATTTCCATATTTTTTGGAAAATAAGAAATATTTCTATATCCATGATACGGAAATATACAAGAAAGCAAAAAAGAAAAGGAGTTCGGGGTAACCGACCTCTCATTCCTATAAATACAAAGATCTCGAAGCAAGAAAGAACAACTCATACAATCTAGAGAGCAGCAGAGCTAAAACCAGAGACTCCAACGCTTTCTAGTTCACTTCGCAAACCTTCTTTTCACTTCGGCATAACCTCTCGGTTATCCCATTCTTTGTAATCGCTACGCTTTCTTACTATTAATAAAAGATCTTATTCTCTGAAACCCACAACTGTTAATTAAACCCTAGTGGTGATTTTCTAGTTCAGCAATTGGCGCCGTCTGTGGGGACTAGGAGAATAAATTCTTAAAAAAACCAAGTAAGAAAGCCGAAGCGATGAGCCTTCCCGTCGACGACAGCAATATCATCCGCAACGACGACAACACCAAGACACCCACGCTCGGCGAGCGTACGAACATCACTATCGCGAATCCGCCTGCGGGAGCACCCCCAGCTCCCATTCAAGCCGCCGATCTCGCAGCAGCCATCCAAGCCGCCTTGCAGCCACTCACGCAGGATTTGGTGTCGAAACTAGACACCCTCCAGGCTCAGCAAGCCAAATACGAAGAGCAACTCAGCGCCTTCGCAGCCGCAACAACCGCGAGATTAGAGCCGATCGGACGACGTTTGATCTTTGATACACCAGAGCAAAACAACCGGAGTGTGACAGCCGACGGCGAGGAGCCCTCTGGCGAACTAAATTCCGAGATTGCAAGACTTCATCAGCGGATCAACGCGATCGGGTCCCAAGTCCATCGAGCCACCAGCTCGGCACCCGAGATCTCAGCCATTCTCTCAGATGCAGAACGCAATCCATTCGTCCCACGGATCACCGACGTCCGACTCGGCGAGGCAATAAAACTGAAGCTCCCATACTACAACGGGATGGAGGATCCCAACCTATGGCTGACCGGATTCAATGTCGCCATGAAGAGGCAACGATTCGAGACCGACCTTGAATGGGAGGCCAACCACTGCCAAACCTTTGTTGAACACCTCAACAAAGACGCTTTAAAGTGGTTCTCTAACCTACCCCCGGCCTCTATCAAATCCTTCAAGGACCTAACTCACGCCTTCATCAAACATTATTCCATGTTCATCACGAAGAGAACGGTCAACCTATTCACTCTAGTGCAAGAGCGCGACCAACCACTTCGCGACTTCATCGAAAAATTTAAGAACGCCGCCGCAGCATACGGGCAAATCCCTCAAGCTTTAGCTATCGAGGCACTTATGAATGGCCTATGGTATAAATCCCCGCTCAAGGAAGATCTGCACAAGAACCCGAGGGAAACCATAGAAAACGCCCTCCACCGAGCCCAAATCTTCATACGAATGGAAGAGGAGAAAATTTTCTACGCTAAAAAATATGGCATCACGAATACTTCAAAAGATAAAGATCCCACGAGTAAAAGCAAGCCCTCCTCTCACGCTGTCGTAGCAACCACAGAGAAACCCGGGCATCAGTGGGCCTTAGGAGACCCCCCAAGGAGCACTAGTGATAAGGACGATAATTACGACCTCTACTGCTCCTTTCACGGACGAACAGGACACACTACCTCGACATGCCGACACCTCCACAACATGTTGTATGAACAATACAAAGAAGACATAATCAACATTGGAAG